GGTATGCAACCCAAATACTCGATTTGAGACCGAGCGGTTTTTAGCTGAAACAATCTAAATGACAATCGAAGATCTCATTAATCATAGTAAAATGATAAAAAGATAGGCGAAAACGGACGTCAGATGAAGAAGTTATGATTTTATAACGGAGTTTTCTTGTCCTGGCCTACTAAAAATAAATAATAAAAATAAATTCAAAATTAGCCAACAGAGTCTAAACGAAAGTTGTAGAGCATAGTCTCATCTACGCGGAGATATAAAGAACGTTGAAAACGGAGTTCGTATGAGGAAGATATGAATTTTTGAAGTTTATTAAATATTTTCGATATTTAATTTAAATATAAATTCGATATTATCCGGAAGGGGGGGGGGGGGGGGGGGGAGTCAGCATTCTTATCCCCATTACGCCCAGCATAATTTAGAATTACGCCCAGCGTAATTCGTGTTTCAGCCCCCTATAAAAGGGTGTCGAGGGCAACCGACTTCTTTGCTCATTTCTTCCCTTTGTCTCGCGTTTTTGCATCGCTTTTCGTGCAAGAAATATCCCAAAGCCCCGGTATCATTCCCGAGCCCCGAAGCAAGCCCCGAGGCCCCAAAGATCCCGAGAAGTGTGATTCCCGAGCCGAAGCTCTTCCCGCATGGAGCCCAGTTTTTGTGAAGATCTTCCTGATCTACCGAAGAATACTACTTTTACAAGTCGTAGTGCTGTCCGATCATCTTCTAATCAAGTGAGTATGTGGTTACTTTCTTCTAACGCATAATTATGAAGTATTTTATATGAAATACGTGTTATGTGTATAATTTTGTTATTATGTGTGTAAATGTATATTCACTTTCTTCTATCTCATAGATCTGATTTATTCTGTATGAAATAAGTATTATGTAGGTATGCCTCATATGTTATGTGGAATAGGTATTGAATGAGAATGTTATACAGGTTTTAAACTATGTATAAAAATATATATTTTTATCTACTAATATGTTGGGTAGAACATTGGTAGATAGTTGATGTGTGATAAACAGATGAGAGGCCCCGATGTTGTTGCTGTTGATCTAGTTATTCGGCGAGTATGGGTTAGACCAAGAGGTTAGTTTTAAATCCAGGAGTATGGAGCAGGTAAAGATATAAAACTTGTTATTAGTCCGGGAGTATGGATTAAGACTAAGTTAATTGTCCCTGGTCCGGGAGTATGGATTGGGCACAGTTATTGATCCGGGAGTATGGATCAGATCAGGATTAAGGTATAGTTAATTGTCCCTATTCCGGGAGTATGGATTGGGTACAATTATTGATCCGGGAGTATGGATCAGATAAGGAGGTTAGTTTTAGACCGTGAGTATAGATCAGGGGAAAAGGTTAGTTTTAGATCTGTGAGTATGGATCAGGTGAAGAAGTTAGTTTTAGATCTGTGAGTATGGATCGGGTGAAGATAATAATTTTAGATCCATGAGTAGGGATCAGGTAAAGAGGAAAATTTTAGATACGAGAGTTTAGACTATATCGTTGTGAGGATCGGTGGGGTTGGGATAAGAGTTGCCTTTATATGGTGAAATTGTAAAAGTTTGAATGTTCTATATTTATAAATATATGATATAACATTGTGGGATGAAAACCCTATATGCTCACCAGGCTCCCAAGCCTGACCCACTCAGTTTTCTTTGTATCACATGTATTAATACGAAGACATATTTCACAAAGAGATTTAAAGGAGATATAAACCAATTGTGTAATTAAATGTAAGTTCTGTTTATGCTTATATGTTTGTATCGGAACATGACATCCCGAAATTTTGTTATATAATGAAAGTACATTTCTTTAAAGAAATGCTTTGATAATTTTTATCATATTTTGTTTTGGGAACAAATTCCACAACTGTTTTCTTTAAAAGAGTACTATGATTTTAAAAATGGGGATGTCACAAAAATTATTATTATTATTATTATTATTATTATTATTATTATTATTATTATTATTATTATTATTATTATTATCTATCTATCTATCTATCTATCTATCTATCTATCTATCTCTATATATATATATATCACTACTAGAAAACTGGCCTTTAATGACGCGCAAACAATGACACTCGCCGATAGAGGGCGCGCATTTGTGGGTGCCCTAAAAAATAGTGTCAGTTTTGCAAAATTTGAAGGATAGAAGAAACGCATTTGTGCGTGCCCTAAAATTAGTGTTAGAAAAGAAAAAAAGGAAATGCGGAGGGCGCCTTTTATAAAATGTTCGTCATGTAAGTATGTCGCTTTATAAATTTTTAATGAAACACGCCTTTTAGGCGGGAAACGATCGATCGACAAAAATCCCCAAAATTTTGGAGGACCCGCTCATTCATTCCTCTCCACTTGCCGATGACCTTCATTTTCTCCCCTCCTTCTCTCTGTAAAACCTAGCAGCCGCCACCACCAGAAACATGGTTTTATGATGGCTTCCTTCTGTGTTGTAAGAACGAGAGTCTGATCCTTCATTAATATAATAGCTAAAGGCGGAAAATCCCCCAAAATTTTGAAGTACCCCACTCACTCCTCTTCACCTCTACCCTACTTCATCTACAACAACTCCCCACATTTAATAACCCTATAATTCAAAACGATTTCCATTCCTCATCGGCAACCTTCATCATCAGCGAGTTGAGTCGACTAATTGCCTCTCCCTGTCGAGTTCGAAATTGTTACTGGAGGAAGTAAGGGCAGTGCAAGATGATGAAGGGCCTTCAAAGGCGATTTGTTTATTACAGTGTGGTAGAAGAGTCGACGGTGCTACTGATAGCCCTAAACAATAGTCATCTTCAAAAAAGATACCAAATCAGACATGCCTCCTTTATCTCTCTCTCTCTCTCTCTCTGTGTGTTGATCAATCGGTACTTTAATCCCCTTTAATAGCTACAAGAACCCTAACCCTCATCCCGTCAAACAAGTCATTGAAGTTGGGTCATATACAAATCAGACATGCCTCCTTTGAAGATGGCTATAAGGTGCAAAAAATCTGATAAAATTGACGGCGTATCAACTACATCTCCTGCTGTTTCTTCCGAATCAATGATCAAGGTGGAAGTCGTGTTGGAGAATTATATAGTAGGTGATGTGAATAACGCAATAAATTAGGGCGGTGAACCAGACGCAGGTGGAGATAAGGTCACAGAGGATTTACCGCTAGTAAGTGAGGATGTTGGTAAAGGGAAGCAAGGAGAAGGAGATGGAATTGTTTACCTAGAAAATGATGAATCTGACGAGACCATAGTCTAGAAGATAGATGATTTACAGCATGGAAGCGAGAATGTGGATCAAGACAAACAAGGATCAGGCATCAATGGTCCCCAATTAGAGATAGTTTCTCAACAAAGCTCAGGTAAACTGATTCATCTGTGATCCTGTTCATAATCAAACCTAAACATATGTAACATCAATGAAGAATTCTAACATGATTGTTTTTGTTGGAGTGGGTTGTAAGTTGGAAGTATGTAAGTGATAATAGCTGTCTCATGGTTTCTCTTTATTCAAAATGCATACCAAGTATTTGATGGATTGCCTCAATTAAACCAATCAACAAAAAAAGAACTGTTTATACCTAATAGATTTGGGACTGTCTCCTTCGTCTCCCTTTCATTCTTTGTTTTTAACTTTTTTTGGTTCTTGTTTCATTTTTAATTGAATATTATCACTTTTTTCTTACTGAGATGGTTTATGAAATATGAAGCACGAAATTGAGGCTACCTTGATTTGGTCAAATTGATGAACTATTTTCCTATGATCAGAATATTAGTACCCTAATTCCAGAAGAATTCAATTGGTTGTATAATATTTCATATATCTTTGTTGATGTTTTTAATGATTTGTTTCTATAACAACAACAAATGAAATGGGATTCATATCTAAAGATGGTGAACCACAAATACAAACAGATGAAATGGGGCCCAACATTGCGCTTATTTTAATTTCGTATTAATCTTCTTCCTCTCTATCTTCCCGTAAATACAAAATTAATCCCACTGTTGAATAAGTGAATTAGGGGTTACGGTTTCGAGTGATTTGGGGAGAAGATGGGATTGGGTAGGCTGAGAAGAAAAGGGTGACCCAGATGATAAGGACAATGGAGAAACTGTCTTGCCAGGTGTCAATCTCCTATTCGATGGATCTGAATTGCGTCCATTCGACATTGGTGCTTGCCTTCAGGCCCGACTACCCGCAGCTTTGATTACCGAGGCTTCAGCAGTTTCGGCTACATATTCAGCAATTAAATAAATAGGACTCACAAAAGCCGAAATTGTATATACAATACAAGAGTTTTTCATTATGCTAGTGGGGGCAAATTCGTCTTTTTACCTTGTAGCTGGCAAAAAACAAGGTATGTTTCATGTAACACACCATTTTGCTTCATTTATTACAAGCGAGGCTCATCTTTGCTCTTTTTGTGCAGAAGATGCTCCTCCCAGTTTTTATTAAGTGAATGAATATCGATATTTTATTTAACTATATATGTAAATTTCCATTTCTACCCTCGTTCACTTTCTAATTCAGATTCACACATCTTCCTATTTATTTATGTATATACAGTTTGGATATTTCTCATTTGGTGGAAGCACAATCATTTGTGTCTTTGAAAAGGTTAGACCATCTAATCTGTAACTATTTTTAATTTTTAATAAAACGCATAATCTTAAGATGATAACTGAGTAATCCCTTATGAAATGGTTAAGCAAACCCCTTTTCACATACAACATTTACACTAATTTGTTATGTAGATTCAGGGCATGCATTATCCCTTAAGTGTATGTTTTTAGTGTGTGTCTTTGGTCATAGTCAAGAAATTGTATCAATCTCTTTCCTACCTACTTCGTGAGGAACCAATCACCAGGTAAATTAGGTCAAACTTTTGTTGCTCAAAAACATCTTGAATCCAGATTGTCACATAATTAAATGAATTCTTTTTACATGGAATTATAGTTTGTGTTGAATATAAATAAAGTTTAGCTTTTTGCATACAGATGGGATGCAGGTCAAACAAGTGGAGGCTCAGGTACTTCTTTTTCCAATAATGCCATCACTAAACCAAGTATTGAGTGCTTCATGTTTATAAGTGCAACATTAATTTTGCTTTGAAAAGCCTTAGACTGACTTTGCTTTATATAAATAATGGAATTATAGTGTGATATTGTGCATCATTCCTCTGATTTTTGTTTATTCAACTACATTTATAAAGATCTTGTCATATTTTTTTTATGTTTTTTTTTTACTTTTCAGCTCTGGTGGAATCCTGTCTGCATTAGTTCTTGTTGTTCTGTTTTTGGTTCAAAAATTTGGAATTACAAGAGTGAGCTTTTTCTTCTCACCTATCATGGGTGCATGGACATTGACTACTCCTCTTATTGGAATTTACAATATCATATATCATTACCCTTCTATTTTCAAGGCAATATCACCACATTACATCTATCAATTCTTCTCAAGGAATGCCCATGAGGGATGGTTGTTGATTAATGGTATGGTCCTTTGCATAACAGGTAAGAGCTTTCTTCCTTTGTTTTTCTTTTTTTAATTTTTTTATGTTAAATTTCTAGATGGATAAATGATATCTGTCTCTTGAAAGTGATAAATGAACATATAGACTGGTTATTTATTGAGTAAATGACCATTTTACCCTTCTACCTAGAAGTGATGCTGAATAGTGGTTAAGTGTTTATAAATTGAAGTTTTAAATGATAAAAATTACTATTCTTTTGTTGACAAAACTACAAAATTGGTTTTGGTCCCTGAAAGATTTAAAATGATTGTTTTGCCCTTTTAATTTCTTTTTTTATGTTTTTTCATATTTGTTTTAATATTTTATTAATTAAAGGTAAAAGGGCCCTAAAGCAACTATACCGATTGGATGCTGGAAATCCGGACTCTCACCGATGCTTGGTATCCCAACGAGCAAATTAATTAATCTGATAGTTGTATATTTTGTAAAAAAAATTTATTTCTCAATAAAAAAATCATATATTATTCTTTTTACAGATAAGATTCTTCCATAAAATGGCATCGAGGCTAGCTCCTGTCACTGGTGGTAAAAAACTGATTTCCGTTGTCCTTGAAGCAAAGCGACCTACTATCAGGTTGTTAAATGGATTTTTTAATTACCTTTTAGAGCGTTAAATCTTTTTATTTTTTATGTATTGTGAAATAAATTATGGGTTTTATCTTTTGTAGTCAGTTGCATGACAAATCTCGGATGGAGGCAAACATTGTTTTCCTCGAACAACATAAAGGTTATTTCTTACTTTACCATTTAATGTTATAAAACAAAGTGCTGGAATACTTGAACCTGGAACTAAGAAGTTTATTTTATCATCAATGTCAGGAGATAACAGTCTTACTTTACCATTAATGTTATAAAGCAAACTAGTAACAACTACAAGATAGGAAAGAAATGTTAAGAGAGTTTATTTAACATCAATAAACTTGATTCCTAATAAAAATACGATACAGTTCATGAGAAGTAAAATGGAAGTCTGGATCATTTGATTCAAAGTTCATTGTTGTGAGTTAATGTACAAAAGAATTAGTAAAAATACAAAAATTTGGGCGAAATAGTCATTTTACGTGGATTTAATGGATATCTCAGTTGCAATTTAACATCATGTATGAGTTGACAAGAACCTAATCATAGTAAATATGTGTGCATTAAGTAAGTGCTACAATAGTAACATTGTAATAAAAACTCATATTCAAAAGTGTGTATTCCAGTATCAGATTAATCTACTCGTATTAATTCATGTCTACTCGTATTAATTCATGTCTCAAAGTGTGTATTCCAGTATCAGATATCATGATTTATGTATTTATAAAATTTTGAAATAGGGTCTTGTTCAATGCTTTAGCTGTGTTTGCTCTAAGGGAGATCAACTTATCAAAAGTAAGTTATTTTTTTCACCCTTTTATTTAATATTTTTGTGATTGAATGAAAGTCTTAATGAAAGTAATTGATAACCCTATTTCTGTAAATGATGTTGTGATTGTGGGAGAGGTGTTGTGTTTTTCTCTGTTGCTAGGTAACCTTCTCAACAACAACATTCTACTTAAGCAGGTGAGTAATCAAGATTAAGGGAGACTTGTAATCATGTTTGGCATTCCTTTCCAGTAAGAAATAGAGTTGTATGATTATTTGTTAGTTTTATAGGAATGTATAACCCATGTTAGCAATGTATTATTTTTGTTTAACATTTGAATGATTCTTTGTATGACATTATAATTTGTGCAATTTATTTTATTTTTTGAGTATGAAATTTTATTTTATATTATGCAATGGATTGTATTTTTTGTATATGGTATTTTATTTCTATTAAGAGAAATTAAATGCAAATTTAATTTAAAAATTAATAAATATAAATTTTTTTTAAAACATTTAAATTTATGATACGCAAAAATGTGTGTCATCTTAATTTATGACATGGATTTTCTTGACAGGGGCTTTCTTGATACGCATTGCGTGTCATTAACACACGCGTCGTAAGGTCACGACACGCGAATGCGCGTCGTCTTCCTTTATGACAGGTCCTTCCTTGACACGCATTGCGTGTCGTAAACGTGTGTCGTAATTGCGCGTCGTAAATGAGCGTCGTAAATGCGCGTCGTCTATAGACGACGCGCAAAAGCGCGTCATCTCTCTTTATGACAGGGCCTTCCTTGACGCGCATTTGCGCGTCGTCTGAGCCTTTTACGACGCACAATGAGCGTCGTAAAAGGCTGTTTTTCTAGTAGTGTGTATATATATATATATATAAAATCCTTTTTGTATATTGTTTCATTTGTTTTATTTGTTTGTTTAGCCTGGTTAACTCTTTTAAATAAAATCTCAAAAACAAACTAGTCTTAACAACTAAATTACACCTTAAATTTAGAACCATGCCTGTCACAAGAGAACGACCTAGATATAAACCTAAGCCTATCTATGACTTATGTTGCCATCAAAGCTTTAGTAACTCAGCGATTAGCCGACACTTTAGCTAACCTATAAGCGAATAGGAATGTCGGTTCAGGAGGAAATGGGGGGGGGGGGGGGGGGTTCGCATAATGATAACTGAGGTCCAAGTAGGGCTTGTTCATGTAAATACATTATGAAATCTAAGCCAAGATCTTTCCATAGAAATGAAGGAGTAGTTAAATTGACTCGATGGATAGAAAAGATGGAGTCTATTTTCGAGATAAGCTTCTATGCAGAAGACTCCAAAGTTAAGTTCGCTACTTGCATATTGGCAGAGGATGCCTAAAGCTGGTGGGACAATTATGAACAAACCATGGCCATCACTATAGTGAATGTAACATCTTAGTGCGAGCTAAAGCAACTTATGATCGATGAATACTGACCTCGTGAAGAAATGAAGAAGCTAGAGTGGGAGCTGTGGAATATAACGATGAAGGAAGCTGATGTCGTTGCATATACAAACTGTTTCAATGACCTTGCCACCTTATGTCCAGGAATGGTAACTCCTGAATATAAGAAAATAAAAAGGTACATCTGGGGTTTCCCCCAACCCTTTCAAGGATTGGTTACTATTACAAAGCTAACCACCTGTAACATCGCCAAGAGACTAGTTTTTAGCCTGGCAAATCATGAGATCCATTAAAGAACCGTGGTCTAGAAGGCTAATCTCCCATGGTTGGAGAATAGGAAGAGAAAACTTGGAAATGAATCCAATGAAAGGGATAGGAAACCAGCAGAGAGGAAAAAGGATGCAGTTCAAGAGTTTGTAGTTACAACCCTAGCATGGACTACTACAGGAAGTAGTCTGATGTGTAACCTATATGTGTATAATCATTCAAGAGCTTGTTGGATCTGCACAAATTATGGTAAGAAAGGTCATCTTTCTAATAGGTGCAAGACTCTAAAAGATCAAATGACGGAAGTAACAACAAAATCAAGAGATAAGGCATGTTTCGATGTTAGGAGGTGGGACATTTCAAGAAGAATTGTCCAAAGTTAAGGAGAAAGGTAGAGGTTGGTCATTTTTTATAGGAGCATCAGAAATCGTTGAGGACCCGGTGGTAGTTATGGGAACGTTCCTAATAATTAACTTATATGCCAATATACTTTTCGATACAGGTGCCGATAGAAGCTATATTAACCCGATTTTAGGAAATTGTTAAAACATCCATATAGTAAACTTAGTGAAGCCTATAGGGTAGAAATAGCTAACGGGTAAGTTGTTAGTACCCAGTAGATACTTTGGAGCTGTACATAAGTGTTAGATAATCATACGTTCCTCGTCGACCTTATGCCTATGGTTATTGTTAGTTTCGATGCCGTCATCGGTATACATTGGTTATCCCCTAAACATGTCAAAATCTTATGCTTTGAAAAAGCATTGTGTCTACCCTTACATAACAGAGAATCCTTAACCATCTTCAGCAACAAACCTTGTAGAACCCTTAGCATCATTCCTTTCATGAATGCTAGAAAATACTTGCAGAAAAAGTATTATGCCTACCTAGATCACATTGTTGATAAGAAGAATGACAAGAAGAGGATTGACGAGGTACCTCAAGTGTGCATCTACCCTAATGTATTCCCAAAAGAGCTACTAGGACTACCTCCATCTTGACAAGTAGAGTTTAGGATCAACCTAATCCCAGGAGCCGACCTAGTAGCAAAATCTCCTTATAGATTAGCATCATCAAAGATGCAAGAGCTCTCCAGTCGGCTACAAGAACTTCATGACAATGGTTTCATCATACCAAGTTTATTGACTTGGGGTGTGTCCGTCCTATTTGTCAAGAAGAAAGATAGATATTTTCGGATACACATTGACTATACAGAGTTGAATAAGCTAACTATCAAGAATTGTTATCCACTACCCTGTATAGAAGATCAGCTTCTCCATTGCCTCGTGTTAAGCTCTTTTTTATTGAAGATGTGTTGTAGACTAACCAAGTCTTCCCACTTCCTACCAATAAAAGAAATGGAAAAGATGGAGAAGTTGACTGGGATATTAGAGAGATTATTAGATTACATGGGGTACCGATATCTATCATCACTTATAGGGATAACAGATTCACCTCCCAATTTTGGCAAGGTTTGTAGAGGGCTCGTGGTACTCATTTGGATATGAGTACAACCTATCATCCATAAACGGACGGTTAAAGTGAAAGGACCATCCTAATGTTGGAAGATATGCTCGGTGCATATGTAATAGAATTTGGAAGTGCATGGGATACTCATCTACCCTTGGTTGAGTTCTCATACAATAATAGTTATCACACGATCATCAAGGTTGCACCGTTTGAAGCCTTATATGGTCGGAAATCTCTTTCTACTATTTGCTGGGCAAAAGTTAGAGATACTCAGCTAGCCAAGAAGTTCATAGAAAATAACCTACGAACTAGCTTAGAGATAATACACAAGGCGACTGAGAAGATAGTACAAATTCACGAGCGCATGAAGGCGGCACGAGATTGATAGAAGAGCTATGTGGATACAAGAGTTATGCTTAAGTTATTTCCTTGTAAAGGAGTAAGAAGATTAGGAAAATGGGAAAAGTTAAATCCTAGATACATTGGACCTTTCGATATCCTTGATGGAATCGATCCAGTAGCCTATCAATTTAGACTTCCCCAAGAGCTCAGTAACATGCATCATGTATTCCATATGTCAAATATTAGGAACTGTCTGTCTGACGAAACCCTCTTCATTCCACTCGACAAAATTCAGATTAACCCTAAACTGAACTTTGTCGAAGAGCCATTTAAAATCATGGATAGAGAGGTCAAGCAACTCAAGCGGAGTTGAATTCCCATAGTCACGGTACGACCGAAATCTAATCGAGGAACAAAATACACATGGGAAAGAGAGGACCAAATGAAGAACAAGTACCCTCACTTGTTTGAAGCCTGAAGATAAGATTAATTCCAAGACAAAATTCCTAAACAGGGAGCGACTGTGACAGTTGGGAAAAATTCCGTCACCAATCAACGTTAGGAAAGAGTAGGAAAAGAATAAATGTAATAGCTTAGGCTTGTACTATTTGATTTATACCATAATATAATCAAATATGATGTGACATTTTCAGTTAAATCTACTATTAGATTCAAAAATTAGCGTCCAAAAAGTTTTACCACCTTTTAAAACGGTTTAGATATTTAGATAGTACTAGTTGACGTGATCTCAATGATATACAATTCGTAAAAATATGACTCTAACTAGAGGAGTTATGGATTTACTTAAAACTAAAAATCAACCGCATATTTATAGTTAATTACGTCAAATTGGCATCAAGAGATTGGTTGAGTTTTTCTAGTGCCATCATAAGAAGAGTGGTAGTACTCCTTGAGATAAAAACGTTAAGATAACGAAATTCGTAAACGGGATCCGCATGAAAGATATGATTTTTGTAAAATCA